GACAGATGTAAACAAAATCTCCCTCGACGTTGTCTCACCTGTTGCTGTCGCCCCTTTATTTCAAGCTAAAAAGTACTTGTGGTCTTTGTAATTCGTTTTCATTTGTGCTGTTAGAGGATATTTGGTATTAGGATTTATAAAAGTTCGAGTAAAAATTCCATTCTATCTGTGTTTCAAAGGATAGTAGTAGTTAGTGTCGTCCTCTGATTTTAGGGAAGTAGTTTTATGTGTGATATGATTAGGAATTGCGTTGGAAAACAACAGTCTCAGATACTAACTTGATGTTTTAAGTAGAAGGATTGCTCATAATGTCTTAAGTCCAGATTTATATCGTAGTTTGAGTCCGTGGAAATCAGTTGATTTGACAATTGAAGAATGTGTTAAAACGTTTCACAATTTTACAACTGGTGGTGAAGTGAAATTGCCACAGAATTTGGTACTTTATTACTGCGGGATTTTGACAATGTGATGTACCGGGAATATGTATGTCAGAGGCTTCCAGGGATTAGTGGGGCGCCTTACAGTCTGTGGTTGCAAGCTGACTGTCTCAACCACACTTCTTATCACACATTTATAAACTTTCCACAATGGAAAATGTGATAGACTAAATAAAAGTAAGTTTAAGAATATATAGTCGGAGCGGTAACAGTATTGTGGTGATATTTACTCGACAAATGTCTCATTATAAGGAGTTAGAATTGGTAAGTTTTCATGAAACATAATGAGCATTTGAATTTTGATAGTGACACTGTACAGTGATTTTGACAGAACTTCTAATAATCATTTTGAATATGAAAAATACAATTACACATTAGTATAATTGAATAACTGCACGGAAAATCTTTGTCAACAGTTGGAGTTGAATTGGCATGCTGTAAGGTTCATTTGTCATTTTCATGGTTTATATGCAAACCTGAAAGTAATTGGTTTTGTTGAAATGGGAGGCAAGAGATATCATGAAAAAGGCTCACGGCAAATGTTTAGCTCTTTTATGTGGACCACTTACCATCATCACTGGCAGTCTTCCAAGAAAGAGTTTGGACTTGTATATTGATAAATCTCAAGGGTTCAGTATCAATTTATGTTCTGGATTGCAACTACCACACGTTCATTAATGATCTTTAGCAATTAGATCATATGCTGCAAAGCCAAGAAGAACAATAAAAGATATGAAATCATACTTATGATTGGCTGTATATCTAACTGATTGGTTGATGTTTCTAGACAAATAAATACATATTCACATGCACATGCACATATGCATATATGCATGTGCATGTACATGTGAAAGATATGAATGAAAGAAACTCAGAGAAAATCAAAGAAAGGAAAGACCATTAACAAACATTTTTTTATTCTACAAACTATAAGCTTTTCTTGACCTTAGAGTGTAAATGTGAGTCCCAAAATGCATCCCGAGAGCTGCAGTAGCAGCAATGTAGAGGCCACAGTGAATGCATGCGTTATAGATGAGGAGGAGAGTGACAGCCAGACTCCAGACCTCCTGTGTCGAGCACAGATTCTCAATGATTCTCCCCGATCTAGTTCAATGAGCTCGGCTCTGGATGAACTCTTTTCTCATGAGGTAAAGTGTGAGAGCATTGTTTTTCCATATACTCTAGCTAACTTAGATTTATTTTTCCGTGAGGTAGTAAATAAATTGTCTGTCAGTGAGGTGTAGAGCTAAGAAGTTTATAGTATATAAGGTAAAAGTGATTTTTTTTCTCCTGAGAACTTTATAAATATGTTATTTTTAGATTTCTAATTTCTGTACATTTCATTTTCTTTAAAAAATGTTTTGATATAGATGATTCTATTCTTGCTATCTCAATTTTCATCCTTTGTAATAACATGCTTTTATAATCTTATTTACCCAGAATTATATATATTCACAACCTTGTACAATATCATATATGATTATGTATTATGCAGTATTATATGTTGTACAATATTTTATGTATCTAGAACTAATCAGTATCAATTATCCATTATTATACAATATTATATAATCTTCAGTAACATCATATAAGTCCTTATAGATAGTATAAAACCTTTGCAATCTTTCAGGCAACGCTAATCACAGAATGCGCAGGAGAGTCTTACAACACAGCGGCAATCTTGCACTACTGTAGAAAAAGAATCATCAAGCCCAGGGATATTATTTTCTCTTTTTTTGGTAAGGACCTCGGAGCATTTGCAAGCAATTTATTTCGGAGATTGTTATGTGTGGTATTCTTCTGAATTTGTCATTATTCCTATTTATATGACTTATCATCGTTGTCATTTTTTGGTCATTGCTTTTATTATTTTTGTAGTAATGATGATATGAAGAATTACAGTTGTTATAATAATGATGATTATTACACTTTACCCCCCTCCCCCCTAGGTTATCGTCCCTGGAGTAAAGATGGGGCTGATTTGTGCCTGTGCATGCGAGCGTTTAGTGTCTTGTACTGCGCCTTCCTCCTGCTCTTCCTGGCCTGGGGTCCTGTCCTGCAGTATAATATATGCCTGAGGTGCGTATAGAGGGTTAAGGAGGAGGAGGGGTTGTGGCGATAATGGTGAAGATAGGTTAGTAAGCGGTTGTGAAATTGGCAATTGGGGTGGGAAAGGTGTTGAGGGGGTGAAAAAGGTGGCTTTAGGGTTGACAGTGTGAAAATGGTGATAGAAAAATAATGGGTTTCAAAAGGGTAATGGTAGGAGTGGTTGCATGAAAAAAGTAGTGATAGCGGGGTGGACTTGATGGGAAAAGGGAAGGAGTGAGAGTGACGGCAGTAACTGAGTTGTGAGGATAGAGTAGTATTGCAGTTAAGGATGGGATTGGTGCCAAGGATAGGCTTAGTGCTAAGGGTAGGGCAGGTGTTGAAGGATGTGTATATACACATAAGGAATAGTTAAAATGCTAATTGATCATATTTTCAGTAAGTTCTTTCCAGTCATGTAAGATGCGGTTTCTGCATGCCTAGTCAGAGAGGGTCTCAGTAGGACACCAGACACGGAGGTGGACCATTAAAAAATTGTGAAGAATTGCATTTTTGATAACTGAATAAAATAGAATTTTTGTGTGTGTATGTTTACATTTACATATTTCTCTACCTGTCCAACGCCGACTTGTTTCTGTACTGATTTCCTATTCACAAATAACTTTTTTTTTCTTTTCTATCTTTTTTTTATATTCCTATTTATTTATTTATTTATTTTTTATCTTATTGCCATCAGAAGGGACAGAGGAGTAAGCACCGAGCCCATGAAGCACCTGAATGGAAGTGTTTCAGGTAGGTCGGTATGTAGTATAAAGCATCCAATTGCTGGAAAGGACAAACTGACAGCTCAACCCGGACTTCTGGGTCCTCTGATTAGCCAGATCTCTCTTTTTTTCAAATCAGCTGATTCTTATTGCTCATGTTTGGTATTTTTAAAATTCATATACACTATTTTTGTTGTGTCTACATCAAATGTTATTTTTTTCTGTGAAAGGCTCGGTAACTGGGAGTGTTCAAGAGTCTTGAGGCTCTACCAGTTTCCGGATATTAATCTGCCTTCATCTTACTTTTCCTTATAGTTTTTATTGATGTTAAATTTTATTCTATGCTTCTTCTGCTCTCATACGTTTTCTTTATACTAATACTTGCCTTTTTTTTATATTCATTATATTAAATTTAATTGTTATTTATATGTTTGGTCTTTATAGTTAGTATCTTCTCTGCTTGTTTTTCTCTATAGTCTAATTATTCTCTCTGTTTTTCCATACCATTACAAAATATGACCTTTGAATTCAATATGAATTTTATTTGATATCATATTTAACATGTTTTCATTCACATAATTGAATTTTGATATGGTGATTTGACAATGATTATCCAAGTCAATTCTGGTTAATGGAGGTGGTTAAATGATTGGTTGGGCTTACGTATTTATTAATCTATTTATTTGTTGGTTAACAATTATGTCTGTCATCAGGATTATGCCACAACTCACTGATGGTCTGTAACGGAAATATGTGGTCGAATCAGCTGTGGTTCAGAGACCGGCAGACTGGATTCCGGTGGTGATTCGGGGTGGATGAGTACTTGTTGGGGGAAACTAACCCATTGACACTAGCACTGTCCACAGGGGTTGTTGTTTGATAAGTTTGTTTACACGCTAACACATCCAGAAACCAGATCAGGACCCGCAGAACTGGTCACTGACCTCTTGGAGACTAAACCCAGTTAGTCTTTTACTGGTTCTCTCTGATGTTGGCTCTTTACTCCATTCTTTGCTTTTTTGGAGAGAAAAATTTAATCCTGATTTATATGCTATTATAAAGATAGTTATTAAGATAATGATAATGATAATGTTTAATGATAGTGATAGAAAAACTTTTATTCATGAAAATATAAAAAGGGAAGAGCAAGCATAACTAGTAAAGGCCTCTTATGGGCTAAACATTTGTGGAGTGATAAAGTGAAAAAAAGCACAGTGGACAGTGCATGTACCTGGTGGGTTAAGAGGGGAATACAAGTAGATGATGTGGTAGAATGTTTTTTTAGGGTAGATAATGGCTGATGATTATGTTTTAGCATAGATAAGGTTAGAATAAAAGTAGATTTATGGTAAAACATGCTTGTTTAGGGGTAAATTATGGTTGATGTTGGGAGATAAAATTTTGGGATAGATAGGGTTAGATAAAGTGTAGATTTGTGGTAAAAAGTGGTTGTTTGGGGTAGATTATGGTTGATTTGGGAGGTAACATTTGGTGATAGATGATGGTAGAATCAGGATAAGATTATGGTTGATTTGGGAGGTAACATTTGGGGATAGATGATGGTAGAATCAGAATAGATTTAAGGTACTTATATCACAGGTAGCACCTCTCAGTCTTGATGAAAATGCTTGATGACAATTGCTGAACCTCTTTCTAATAGTTATTGCAAATATTAATAAAGATTTTCTATTTATTTTTTCTATAACCTCATTACCATTGACATTATTGAACCATTTTCAAAGAAAATGAATTGAGAAAACACATATAATGTAAGTGAAAATGAGGCAGAGCTAAATGATGTCATTATTATTTATATGATTTACTCGATGTTGTTAAGATTACTAGAAGTAAAACAAAAATATGAACACTTTAATTGATGATAAAAAAGTTATTCCACACACTAAGCAACTGTCAGCATAACTAAACACTTTAATTGATGATAAAAAAGTATTCCACACACTAAGCAACTGTCAGCATGAACTAGTGAAAAAGTAAATTTCTTTTTTTGGGTTCAGTGGGCCATATTGAAGTGGTGCTGCCTATTTTACTTTTTTTTTATATACCTTGGTAGATTTGTAGTAAAATATTGGCAGAAGAGTATGCAAAAAGTCTAGGATGAAACATTTATGGCTGGGTTTGCCTGTGTCGGAGAGGAACCAGTTGAGTAACTTTTGGTGTTGGTCTGTGGATTTGTAAGTAAGTGTTAAGAGTAGTGGATTTCTTATAGATATTAGGGTAGTTGCAGATGGATAATGATGGAATTAGATTTTGATTGTAATCTAGTTAGAAATATGATTTTAGGGTTGTTTAGCTTCTCTGGAGATACTGACTAAATACAGTCTGAGCCAGGAAAGTCACTATTATGTCAGTTTCACATTGAATTGAGATGTAAAAAAGGCTATTATCCAGCTCAAGTTGTTCTAATCTGGACACTTTTTTTGGATGTTTTGCCTATTTTGTTAAAGTAAAGATATCAGGGCGAATTAAAATTAAGAGTAAAGGTATTTGCTCCCTGATTGCCCTTTTAGTTGTGTCTGTCATTTTAACTTTCATTTCAGTCGTTCAAACACATCACGTTATCTCATTGCAATCACCCCATTCCAGAATTGAAGGAGGACTTTTACAGCAATAAAGGAAACAATGACGGCAAAGATTCATGCTCGGGCAGCTTGGTGTTCGGATATGTGGTGCCAAGTATCATGTTCCTGCTGGCCTACCTTGTCACCTGCCTTGTGCTCAGGTGCGGCGAGCCAGAGCACCTGCAGACGCTGCTAGAGAGGGTGTGTGTTTTTTGTCTGTGTTAAATTTTGGTTTTCAATGTTGATTTTCTTTTTTCTTTTAGTGTTTATGCTCTACTTCTCTTCCTCTTCCCTCTCCTGTTTCTTTTTCTTGTTTATGTTCTTCTCCTTCTTTTATTTTCCTTCCTCTTCCCTGTTTTATTTTCCTTCTTTTCCTTCTTGTTTTCTCCTGTTCCTGGTGACCTGCCTTGTGCTCTTGGAGAGGCTTGATGTTCTCTATTCTTGATTTGTTGTTCTTACCTTTTTCCTTCTTCCTTTTCTTCTATTTTTATGTCTGTATCTTCATCATAATATTTTATCCATTTACTTCTCCCTATCCTTCTCCGTATCCTTCCTTTTCTTTCTGTTCTCCTGTTTAGTTTTCTAGTTGGTATTTTTGTTTTGTTCCTCCTCCTCCTCCTCTCCTCCTCCTCCTCCTTCCTCCTCCTCCTCTCCTCCTCCTCCTCCTCCTCCTCCTCCTCCTCCTCCTCCTCCTCCTCCTCCTCTCCTCCTCTTCCTCCTCTTCCTCTCCTCTCCTCTTCCCTCTTCCTCCTCTTCCTCCTCCTCCTCCTCCTCCTCTCCTCCTCCTCCTCCTCCTCCTCCTCCTCCTCCTCCTCCTCCTCCTCCTCCTTCCTCCTCCTCCTCTCCTCTCCTCCTCCTCCTTCTCCTCCTCCTTCCTCCTCTCTCCTCCTCCTCCTCCTCCTCCTCCTCCTCCTCCTCCTCCTCCTCCTCCTCCTCTCCTCCTCCTCCTCCTCCTCTGTATCTAAAGGGAGTGTTAAGGAAGAGGAAGAGCAGGAGAGGAGGAGGAAATGTTTTGTCATCTCTCTTGTTTAAGTGGGTGTTTTTTTTCCCTCTCTCTAAACAACAAAAGATTCTTTTCCTCTTTCCTCCTTTACCTTCTTACTTATCTTTAACATTCATTGCCTGCTCGCCCTCACTCCCATAATCTTACCATTGCCTTCCAAAACTCTCCCATTGGCCTCTCTCATCAAAACTCCACCTCCCTCATCTTCCTTTCTCTCTCTCCTAATTTCTTTTCATGCCTTCAGGTGTACCTGATTTCGGCCTGCTCTCCGTGGGAACAGATGAAGCAGCGTCGCCTGGGCTGTGCATGGGTCACCTGGCTTGTCCTGGGGCTTCTGTGCTTGGCCCTCTCCTTGACCTCCCTGGCCCTGCACTTGGCCGCAGCCGCACCACACCTCCCCTTCACCATCATTCAGCCGAGGTATGATAAGAGGCTGGGTGATAGGGGTGTGGGAAGGGGTGGGAGGCTTTAGAGGGAGTGTGGAAGGGCATTTGGGTAGAATGAGGTGGGGTTTGGGGAAGTTATGTTGTATGTTATGTTCAAGTCTGGAACCTTGTGATTAGATAAACAAAATTTAAATCATCCCTTTGTAAATAAGAAAACAGGTAGATACAAACTTGTCATACATTTTATATCTTAACTTAATGCCTCTGGGTCGTCTAAACACAGGGATGGTGTAAACATGGAGGCATATGGCATGTGCAGGCAGCCAGCATGCTTATTTTCATCCTATAAAGTCCTGGTTGCCCTATTACTGTTTTGCAGTTGATTTTGCCGTAAAATCAGTCGACTACCACAGTGCAAATTCTGCATGACAGAAGGGCTATAAGCTCTGAGTACACTGCAGTATTGATTGTGTGGCATAGCTGTCCCAGATGAGATGGCAATTCTTGGCATGGCATGAAATGCATGCCACCCTGAGTAGTCAGTTAAATGTCTATGAATGTATTTGTCTTTGTTTTGCAATGACAGCTCTTGTCAAACTCTTACTCATACTGTTTACTGTCTACCCTCTCAGAGGAGTAAATGCTTCTCTGAAATGAAAAGGTAATGTGTTACTGTAATATGCTTTATGTATATTTATCCTTCAAGGTTAAACCAGTATTGACATAGTAGGCTATTTGTTCATCCAAAGAACAGTAAAATCCAACACTTTTTATTTAATCTACACCAACACTACATATATTATATATATATATATAATATATATATATATATATATATATTATATATATAATATATATACTATATATAAATATATAAACAATATATATAATATATATATATATATATATAATATAATATATATATATATATATATATATATAATATTATATATATTATATATATATATATTATATATATATATATATACATACTATATATACATACATTACATATACATACATATACATACATACATACATACATACATATATTACATACATATATACATACATATATACATACATATATACATACATATATACATACATATATTACATACATATATACATATATATATATATATATACTATACATATATACATATATACATAATACATATATACATATATACATATATACATATATACATAGTATACATATTATACATATATACATATATACATATATAATATATACATATATATATATAATATATATATATATATATATATATATATATATATATATATAATATATATATATTATATATATATATATATATATATTATATATATATATATATATATATTATATATATATATATATATATATATATATATATATATATATATATATATATATATATATATATATATATATATATAATATATATATATATATATATAATGCGTGTGTCTGTACACACCACACATTAACACACAACATCAACACACACATCAACCACACAGGAACACACACACACAGGAACACACACATATGAACACACACATCAACACACACACATCAACACACACACACACACAACACACACACAGAACACACACACAGAACACACACACAGACACACAGGAACACACACACATGAACAACACACACTCATGAACGCACAAACACACAAACACACATAATACACACACACACACATAAACTCACTCACACATGAACAAGCACACACATGAACACACACACATGAACACATCAAACACATGAACAACACACACATGAACACAACACATGAACACACACACACATGACACACACACACATGAACACACACACACACACACATGAACACAGACACATACATGGACACACACACACATAAACACACACACACATGTGAATGCATACTCACATGAAAACACACAAACACATTAACATACACTCACACATGAACACACACACATGCATAGACATACGCACACACACGCAGATTCTCTCCTAATCGCCGCAACCTTTTAAACTTTCCAGACAACTCCCCACACATACCCATTAACCCTTCCTTTACCTTCCAGTGATACGGCAGACAAGATCGTCCTGTGTGGGCTGGCCCTAGGGTCCCTCTGGGTAGGAGACGGGGCAATGGTGGTAGGGGTCCTGCTCTACTGTGCGCAGTGCCACTTGTTGTGCACGCTCCTTGGCCTCATCAGGACTACGCTGTTGCAGGGGGCCATCTCACTACACTCCGCCAAGAAGGTGAGGATGCCGAGGAAGGGTATAGGGAGGACGTGGAGGACTGGGGTATGGTGCAAAGCCCAGATTTGTTTATGATCGTATGTTATTCATTGATGCTCATTCATCTCCCTCCTCTCTACAGTTTCCCTGTATATTTTTAGGGGATTGGGGCTGGGTGGGTGACTGGGTGTATTGGGGCATAGGCTGTTATAAGGACATGGGATGATAGCCTAATTTAACTGATGATTTTTTTACCTCTGACAAGGAGGTTATGTTTTTAGCAGTGTTGGTTAGTTAGATGGTTAACTGGATTAATCAAGAAATTATTAACAGACTTTTATGGAATTTTAACCAGAGGTGTTTCATAGCCCAACTTAAATGCCGTTAAATTTTTTTGGTGATCCGGATCTGGTTTTAAAAGGATTCATTAGAATTGCGAGATAGGTAAACACGGTGTACTTGAGAAAGGCGATTTTAATGCAAGTCTTCAGGTGTGAATATTTTTATTGCATCTGTGACCCCACTTCC